ATAAAATGGGCGGTGACAATACTCACACGTCATTAAATTACTCCTCGACTAAAATTCGACTTTATTATCAGATTAGTCGACACAAAAAAAATAGGAAGCGGAAAATACACACATTACAAATGTCCGACCATTGCATCAGTGGCTGTCCTCCGACAGTAAACAGATGAACAGTCAGTGCCTCAGTATTGGACTCATTGTGCTGCTGTGTGAGAGCAAGAGTCAGCTGGTAATATGAGGGGTCGCTCTGTGTGTTGGTGAGAGCATAAGCTGGACATCCTCAAGGCTAAAGTACTGATTGTGTGGGTACAGAGAACGAGCTTGTACTGACTAATGTCTGACAGAAGACAGATAGACAGGAGAAAGGAAACATCAAGAAGGACAAAAGTTTTCTGAGTCGAAACTTACACAGAATACACACAAAGAATACAATAACATACGTTGATAAGAAAATATCACATAAAATATGTGTTGTGTTTCCTGATCACTAAGGCTGCTATGCAAATAAAGGGAAATGACTGTCCTAAAATAAGAAACAAGTGTAGCTATACAGTTTGGAAGATGAAACCCAAAGAGTAACTGAACCATTGGTTGAAGAAAAGTGGAATTCTCTGAGAAGATGAAGATACAGCATGCTTTATTTATAAAATGTTTATACTGTAGCTGAAAAATTCTTGCATGGTCAAATATGGACTGTGCAGCACTTCAATGCACCAACTGCTTCACCAGATGTCTTTTCTTATGAGTGTGTGTGGTTTTAGGAGAGAAGGAACTCAGTGAATGGCATTTAAATGAATAGTAATCAAAAATCAACCAAATATTTTATGAAGGAAGTCACCGATTTTTTTAACCAAATATCTAAGAAAGCCAGAGGGTTCTCAGGAGCTCTGCTCCTGCTGGTCATTAGTGGTACTGCTTCTTAGCAATGCCTTTCAGAGGAAGGACTCTATGTGTAAATCTTTTCCTTCTTAGCAATGCCTTTCAGAGGAAGGGCTCTATGTGTAAATCTTTTCAGTTACAGAGGCAAAACAGCAACAAAAATCAACATAAGTTGTGCACTGCAGGACAAAGTTGCATCCAAATTTCATTTTAAGCCATACTGCATGTGTTTGTAAATGACTTATTACTTAGAGATCTTTCATGAAGTCTAATTTTTCAATATCATTACTCCCATACTTTCAGCTCTTTAAACATATAAGCCATGCACTTACTGAAGTGGGATAATAAACTGACTACATTAACATTCCACATGGTCAAGCCTTTGACAAATGCTATGCATCATTCACTGGGCATTTCACCAGCAGCCTCCTTTTAATGCCTCCCTCCTTTCATCCCATATTAAAGAATTATTTTTTACCACTGTTCTGCATAATGAGCCAGTAGTAAGGAAAGACCACACGTACTCTCTGTGTCAGCTACATTCGAACAAATCCTCGGAACAGACACACCAGTCTTCAAACAAACTCTTAACAACACCGATAAGGATTTTACCCTCCTTGGAGAATGTCAGGAAAGGAAGTTCTTTAATGACTTGTATTTACTAGAAGTTGTCAAGCATCTGGACAGACAACCTTCCTGACCGCTCAGACACTGACAACCTCATATTTCTGCTCTGATACTATTCTTTCAAGTTTCAACCCTCTGTTCATTCTCCTGTTACACCCATTTTCTTTTCTGTCTATTAATGTTTCAGTGCCACCCACATCTTTTGTACTGATGGACACAGTGATATTTTGAGTGTGAATCACAACCAGAACAGTAAAACATGTTACGAGTATGTGTCTGCAGTACTTACCCATGTCCTGAGGGAGCTATAAAGTACAGGCAGCAGTGGATTCGGCTATCAGGCATCAGTCTTCTATTCACCCGTGATTCTGAATTTAGATAGTCTTCGAACTTGCTGTCTATGTGGTCGATGATTGGCTGCCAGCTGCAAATGACAAATGAGAGCTTCCAATAAGAAAAGTCTTTTTAACAATGAGGACCATTGACTGATGAGAAGATAGTTTCAGTCACATTTGTATCCCATAATTCCAAAAACAAATCATTAAAATCTGAACAGATGAATTTTGCATTCATAATTGACCTGAAGATTCTTCTGTCGGGAGTGTTTTTTACAGGAGTTAAAAATGACAGCTAATGAGGTGAACAACAGTTGTGAGGAATCTTACCAGTTGCTGTTGTCGACAGCATCTCCAAACCCTGGGGTGTCCACTATTGTGAGCAGCAGCTGGACGCCCCCTTCTTTTATTAAAACTTTTGACTGCTCCACCTGTGACAGGACAAAGAAAAATGAGGACGTGTTGTGCAACCAATGACGATTTGTAACAAAAACATAGCTTCAAGGAAGGTGGGGCCCGGTAAATTCATTATCTGTCTGCCGATAACATCACAGATCATATATTCCACATAGAGAAAAAAAAAGCACTGGAGGCTGTTAGCAGGTAGCAACAGGAGCCACACACACACACATGGGAGTACACACATGCACACACTGCTATTAGCTAAGAGTGTGCTGTAGTTAGAGCTGAAGTAAGCAATGCTATCTATCTGGAGGCAGACAGGTACCTGAGGCAGACATCGGTGTTGTGTAATTACAGAGGATAAAGATTTGCAACAATTAGAGCAGAAGAAAACTGAGTTTGACTGACTTGTTTAGGTCATGAAATAAAAATAAGCTCCTTTTCGGGTTGTTAGGAGGCTATATTACATTCCTAATATGTTCTAAAATATTCTGAGTAATATTAGCACAGGGTGAATAAAAAGACTACATTACCCAATTCTAAATGGATTTTTTTTTACCAATTTACTGTTCATCATCTTAATCTGCCCAACGTCAAATGAAGTGTTTTTGGGTCATAATCAATTCGGTATGATCCCAGGAACAATGATGACATTGTACCTCCTCTGGACTCAATTCCTACAACTACAACTGTAAAGTCATGAATGGCTTTTACCCCAATGACATCACAGGGAAGTTGAAACAATGACAGGAGATTTGAGTAGTTACACGGTTGTTGACAGAGAGGGAGAGAGAACCACTACCCCTACTCAACATACTGGTCCCTCTCAGTGCTAAACCTCAAGCATACCTGTACGGTCTTTTTGATTCGATGTGAAGGTCCAGGATACTCTGCTGAATACAGGTCTGTTAGGAACAGAGAGTTGATCAACGTGGATTTGCCCAATCCAGATTCACCTGAAACGAGAAGAATTAAATTATGATTGGCTTTTTTTTTTTAACTAAAGGACAATCTGGGAAAGATCAGCCACATACAGTACATGTTGTTTTATTTCGATTGACAAGCTGCTTGTTGACACAATGTCACAAAAGTCTTTCTGGTCTCATTTCAAGCTAAGCAAAATTGAATGTTGACATTCAAAGGGCATGTGTCTAGAGAGGAGATGAGACTGACATTTGCCTGGGCCATTGATCCATTTGGATAACAGTTAAAAGGCTAAAGAAACAACACAGACAATTGGCCATTGTGTGCCCTGTTTCCAAGTTCCACTGAAAAGCATCATTAGTGGAAATGGCCACTGGCACTGCCTGCCTTGGCCGACAGCCACAAGTCAATATTTAACGGGCCTCCATTTACACCAAAGCTGCATTCAAAGGCTAATGCCCAGAGCTTGTACTGTAGCGCTTGTTTGTTATGCTCTCAATGCAAAGCACGAAGTAATCTTGTAAGAGTGCGTGTGTATTAAATTCCCTGTGAAGAAGATAGGGCCCATGAAAATAGCAACAAGCAGCCTCAACATGTGGTTTGTGTGTCATGTGATCTGTGATCCACTGACAGATGTGACAGCCACTAGTGGTCTGGATCAACCCATTGTTTTTTCCCCTTCTTTATCATCCTATTTTCCTTTTTCACACAACGGCTGTCACACATTGCGTTGCACGGCAGGGACATGTGGGTAGAAGCAGAGCAACAGAGCCAAGAGGAACTGAATATCATTGTGTGCGTGTGTGTGAGACAGAGAGAGAGAGCGAGAGAGTACAAAGTACAAAACAATGTAATGCATTCACCAACAAATGGGCCCAGAGCAAATTTTTCAACTTACAGTTTCCATGGTTGCCGCAAACACCAATATTGTTAATAATTTCCCCCTAACCATTAGTGACCACATCTATAATGCGCAAACTGAAGAAATGAATATGCCAATCTGAGTTTACACCTAAAAGTAAACATCCTCATTATGTTGAAATTTTCTTTTAAAAATGTAAACCAAGTAATAAAACATGATATATGTTTGATTAAATGTGCTGTATTTAAAGAAAATACATTTGTATATAAATAATATATATATAGTTGTATATATATATATATATGTATTTACACAAAGTAAACCCATATATTTCCTCCATGTAATCTAAAATAAATTGCGCGTACATCTTTTGTGAACTTGGAAAAATATGTTAGACAAACAAAAACCCTTCAGGGCCGTTAGGAATAGATTTTGCAAACACTAGTGAATAATTAAAATCAGCTCTCATCAATTAATTCATAAATAAATCAATGATTGGGGTTAGATTACTATTTTTTTTTTACAAGGATTGACTAAGAATGGAGCTCACACTGAGCCAGAAAAAAAACAGTTAGTCACCAGCCAGCATTTTATTCACACGTAGAAACAATAGAACTTATTAATAGAAATCTTCCTCTTTCGAACCATGTTTTTTAGGATATAGGTAAAGTAATGGAGTAATAAAGAAACTGTACTGTACAGTATACACCCAAAGAGTCCACTGATAAAGTGACTGCTGACTGAGAAGGGAGATGCACACGACAGGAAATGGTTTTGACCCAAATAAACATTTTCCTTCCAAACAGAGAGCAATCAGCCGGAGAGGATGTTGGCTCTGAATCAACCGCCACATCCAAGCATTTTAAAAAGAATGTCCACATATTTTATTCCCTGTATGAAGCTCAAGATAAAACTAACCCCAAATTTTTAAACCTAAAAAGTTTCCTCAAATGGCAGCAGGGTTTTCTCAACTCTTCTCTGACTTTAATGTTACAACACTAGAGACATGTCCCAAGTGTACAGTGTGACTTTTTGCAGAGACGTACAGAATTATTTTCTTACAAGCAACAAGAAAACCACAAGGAATGATTTTAAGAACACCACAAAGAAAACAATGAAATGATTCATTGGGAAACAGAAATGACAAGCCAGTGTCCTTACCCACGACCATCAGGGTGAACTCAAACCCCCTCTTGACAGACTTCCTGTACACTTGGTTGGGAAGGCTTGCAAAGCCAACATATCCTTCCAGATTCTTCTGCTGCTGTTTACAGAACAAACAAAAGAAAGTTGTCAAAACCATAAAAGAAATGCAAATACAAACTTTAAAACCACAATGAACACAGTTAAAAATGATTATTGCTGATTGTAAATGTTTTGTGTTTTTTTTAATCATTAACATTGGTTTCTGAATTCTTTCCATCTCGTCCAAAACATATTCTCACAGCACACCAAACTTGTATATATATTTAGGTGCTTGGGACAAGGTGAGCACGTCCAGCTTTTGCTGCAGTTTGCAGACACAAGAACACACTGATAATTCTCAATATTTTGCCCTTTTGTTTGTGCATCGGAAAACAGCTCAACATGCCTTAAACTTACTGTGTTTTTGCCACTGCTATTATGATAGTAATAAACTTTAATTGTAAACTATAATAAAATGCATTTCGGTAGTACACATTTGTAAATATTGTTTTTATGTTTCAAGTATTGCAAATTCATGCACAGTTGAGCTTATCACAGTACTAATTTCACTGCTGGTGTACATGTACAGCTAATGTACATGTGAAATGCTCTAAATACATAGATAATCTCCATACTTACAGCTATTGGTGCATATTGTTGAAATGGTGTTCCAGTGGGTGAGAAGAAGCCAGGTTGGCATGGCCAGAGAGTGATGAGAGAGGGCAGAAGGAGAAAAAAAAGGAGAATCAATCTTGGGCTTTTTGGCAGACACACTTTTCTGTATCCACAATCAGTTTTCCAAACTGTGAAGCCCGAGGCAATGAGATCCACAATCTTCACTACTGTTACTCCACAGACACTTGGCCAGTGTGGTGGTGCTCCCAGCACATATTCCACCTCACTTGTTCCTTTAATGTCAGCAGCACCATAAATTAGTACGACTCATTCTTTGTAGCTTTTTCGTTTTATTCTGCTTGTCAGTGAAAGACAATTTCTTCCTCCTGAAGCATCTCCTCCTGCCACCCACCTGTTTGTGTATGACAGTGAACTATGACACTTGTGCTGATTTGCTTGCAGAATATGCAGTTAAAACTCTGACCCAGTCTACATGCAAATGGAAACTGCCTTTCATAGACAGGAAAGCTGCAGATTCAGTCTCAGACAACAGGCATGTTAAAAGACCTAGCAAATGTAACAGAATGTAAATGTTTTCAAAACCATGTTCATACCTTAAAATTGAACAAATCTGCGAAAAGTAGACGCTGACAAAAAAAATTAAGGTGTATCATTATCTCACTCAACCACAGTGCAAAACTTGTCCATGCCACATGAAAATTTTGCGTATGACAACCTGCACGGCCCAGGTTTTGGTATTAGCTTTTGTTTAAGTTTCACTGTCAGTAATGAGGGGAAAAAACAATCAAAATGGATTTCAACCGTGCTAGGATTGAACAATTGTTTTTTTTTTTACCACCACTATAAAGAGAGCTGATGAATAATAATGAGTTGTATGGCGTAGTCTATGATTTGGTCATGATTTGGGTTATTTTCTTAATATAAAGACATAACAAAGAGATCGGTTACGTTAAAATTAAAACTGTCAGTTTCTTTTCCGGTGTCTTCTGACACGTTTGCTAAAGGAAGTGGTGGAAAGGTGCAGGAACAAACGTTATTTCCTACAATAAGTCACTGCAAATGCTTTTACTTTTCACAGTTTTACTGGAAGTAAAACATAGAAATAGGTGCCAGAAGTTAAGGATCATAAAAGTCTGAACCTGAGCAGATATGAACAATGTCACGTTGCTTCCTTCCTTATACTAATACTAACCCAACCGTAAGAGAGCTTCCTAGTTTGGGTTTGAATGCCTGACCTGACAACTGCAGTTTAAATCTGATTATTGATCACACACTAAAAGACTGCTGCAATCGCTACATAAAGCTACAATGAACTATCTAAAAGGGCTTGACAGAATGCATTTGCCTGTATATGGCGTTAAATTAGGTACGCAACAATATGCACGTTTATCTTCTTTGTAACAAAACATGATGCATGTAAAAGGAAACAATAGTTAATTGGTGACAGCCCTAAAACCTCAGATATTGTTTTAGGGGAGCAACTGCTAAAAATGTACGTCTATCAATGACAAGGCTACTCCTTCAATTTAGCAAACTGTTTTTCAGACTATCCTCAGCAATGAACCAAGTGATGACACAGCTGGCCAACAAATTTGGAGGAACTTGCTTCTTCAACATTTACTATAGAACATGAACAGGGATACAGTTATGTTTTAAGCCTCTAAACATAAGTCTATTTTAACAGCTAGACTAACTATTCACCTACGACATTGATAGTGACATTTGTCATTGATATTGTTCAGTCATTTTAAAACTCACAGGAATGCTTGGCAATAATATTTTTTTCAGCTTATAAACAGAATTTGAGCAAAGCAGCAAGTATATCATCCACAACAGGCAACTCAGCTGTTATACATATATATGCAAATAAAAAAAAACAGGCAAGAGCTTTCAGGCCTTGTCGTAATGACAGTCCTCTCTTTCACAGGTTTTGTTTTTTGACCCTGATTTGCTTGTTAAGAACACAAGTGAATTGACGTGGACTGGGTGATGGCTCTGTGCTTCAATTCACCATCGTCTGTGTTGAAAAATTGCTGGAACCAACTACATGATATAAGCAAGCGAATGGGTCAAAACTGCGTTCCAGCAGATAGGACATGGACATTGTTCTGCTCTGCAATACCAACGCTACACGTTACACAACTGTTCTGAAAATGTGTTCGGTACATGCATGTATTTGTACCGAACATCCCAAAACCAATGGTTCGGTATGAACAGACGTACCATTAGAACCCTTATATTTATACAGAGTACAGAACCACCTATATGCAAACCATGTTACTACTGCAGATAATTAACAAAAGGTTTTAATCAAATTAAACTGGTGATGTCTAGTTCTAATTAACAATTAGTGTGTTACATGCTACCACTACCGTAGCCAATACAGGAGAAATATCATTGACGGCCTTGTCTCAACTTTATTCTAGTATCCTATAAAAATTATTCAAAGCACACATTAAGATTGTTTTTTCGGTTAGCCACAAAATGTTTACATCTCATTTGGTCACAAACGTTTCGTTGGTTGTAAATAGGGATGAAATATCAACTGAATATTCGCAAGTATATTTCCAATATTAATATTATCGCATACTCTCCCTTTATGGAACTTTTTCATAACGTTGCGAGACCAATTATATCTCGGTAAAGCTCGCAACAGGGATTTTACATTGTACCTTAGATATAAATAATTTATCATCGACCACAGCAATTCTGCCCAACATACCAAATCAAATTAGCTAAAATCAAAGCTTTACAATAACATTTGTGTGCGAGAATCTGTTGGTGACTGGAGTGTACGTAGTTCGTGTTACTAGCTTTTAGAACCGGAATACAAGGTCAATTTCTTCACGGAATAACAAATGTTTAGTGAGAAAAACTAAAGACAGGAAACGACAGTGTGGTGAGGCTACAAGAAGCTAACATTATGTTAGCCGGCTAACAAGTCCTCTTAACCGGAGGCGGACGACTGGGCGTTGGTTGCTCAGACAACTGCACAAGCTGCTAAAAAAGCGCCAGAACTCTGCGGTTCACGTCCCTCAAACAACGATGACAAATATTAACAGAGTTGCGCTTCTAAAGTTGCCTTTCGGATACACTGAGGACGGCAGCTAATGGCAGCAGACTCACCCATAGCGTCTCACTCCCTGCCGCTTCTCAAATACCTATCATTCACAAGCCGACATTCCCCTTCTATCGCTGAGGTTTTTACGTTGACTTACGCACTACGATAAGCACAACGACAGCCTTTACGCACAGAGTTTACGTCCATTAAATGGCGTACATATGTACGGGAATTACAAAGGAGGCGGCGGTCACAATTACTCGCGAGAGCATAAAGTTCCTTTCACTCACGATGCCCTCTCGCGATATCTACACTCTGTTTTAAAGCAGGTTAATGGTTAATGCGCTTCGTTTACCACACAGATCACCGGTTCGATTCACCGGGGCAACTAATGGTCTTTTATTATTATGCCTGAATAAATTATTTAAATACGACTGTTGTACTCTGATGCTAGAGTACCGTTTAATGAATAATTTAAAAAAAACACTTCTGTTTGAATTTCGCTCATTTACTGGTTTACAAAATAAAACTTAAATGTAATTAAAATCAGTGACAGATATGAATACATAACATAACATAATTTTGATACAAAATATTTTGGTCTACGAAAACTACTGATCATTATTTTATCCATTATAATAATATCAAATGGATTACGCATTTTATGCTTGAGCTGCTCTATTCTATATATATTATCTGTGTGTTATTAAGGTCAGTTATTACGTTTAAATTATTACATTTTAAACGGCATATTGAATCATTTTTCTGGGAACACTCGCCTAAGCGAATAACTTGTTAAGAACTTCTTTGAAACCTGAATATCTGTAACGTTAAACACCTTTGTGTGTTTGGTATGCGTGACGTCAATGACGTGTCCTCACTCACAGCGGCAGAATGCACGTTTGCGCGCGTGCGTGTGCCGCAGTGACGGAATGGGACCGGCGTCCGTTGTTGGCATAGTAACTAGAACTCGGACTTCATCTGTGTTTGTTTAAAAAACTGAAAACCTTTGCAGGTGTTACAAAAATCCCGCAAACGTCTCGGTTTTATACTAAAACCACTTTATAAATAGCATTTATTGAGGTAAACGCGTTTTATGATATACAACAACAACATCCTGCTGCTGCTGTGTGATAGTGGGGGAAAAGGGGTAAGAAACGACATTCGTTCCAACTTTTTTGTAAAATACACCTCTAATACTACTACTGAACTGTACCGTTAGGCGATGTTAAGGCGGATTTATTGACCCACTGTGTATTAAATTATAGATACAAGTTCATTTGTGGTGTAATTAGGTCAGTAAAAAATAATTATTTCCTTGCATTTCTTCAGGTTAACCCCCAGTAACTATATTGCAACTTAAGCTCGTAAGCTTCGTCAGTTAAAGAACAGGTTACTCATGGACGCACATGGGAATAAGGAAAATGTTCAACTCGGTTAAAAAAGCCGAAGATAAATTGTCCTTAAAGACCGCAGTAATTCACAGCAAGTAAGCTTCATTTTTTTCATCTTTAAATATAATTATATGTGTAATCCATCAACATAACCAAATTCACTATATACTGTATATATTTTAAAATATGTTTACCTTTCTTATTGTAGGGCATCTTATGATCTCAGGAGGCTTTACTCTCTGCTGACCAGAACCGGTTCAAGACAAGAGGTAAACTACCGTTGATCAATTTAAAATCTTTTTTATGGCAGTATGTTTTTTCCCATATAACATTTGGTATTGCTGGACATTGTCAAGAATCCTTTTTGCAATCCACCCTTTTTCTGCCTCTTATCCAAGGTTGGGTTGTGGGGACAGCATTCCTAGCAGAGAGCCCAGACTTCCCTCTACCCTGCAATTCTTTCTAGCTTCTTTAGACCAGGCTTCTATCCCTACCTCTAAGGCAGAGCCCAGCAGCTCAGCCTAGGAAACACATGTTGGCCTTTTTATTCTTTTTGGGTACTATCCAGAGCTCCTGATCATAGGTGAGGTTAGGAACACAGATTGACCAGTAAATCGAGAACTTCACCTTTCGCCTCTGCTCCTGCTTTACCATCAACAGTGAATTTCCAGTGAATTCCCCCAGTGTGGGATGAATAAAGTCTTATCTTATCAATAGATCAAGGCAGAGACTGCATCACTGCCAACCAAAATGAGTTGGTGCAGGGTTATGGACCAAGTTCTGACACCAGGTATACAGAGACCGGACACAAGGTGTTGAGGGTCAGGTTACCCATAATCCCAGAGCAACCCCCGTAGTATATCCTGGTAGATGTCCTGTTTCCCTGTTGTTTGGAACACTGCCTCTGGTGCTGCGGCCCGAGGCACTGCCCCTAAGGTCCATGTCGACCAAAGACAGCCCCACAACATCTCACCCCCACCCTCAGGCTCAAGAGCTATTTAACCATCTCTGTAACCTCAGTCCCAAAATAGAAAAGCCCACCTCCCACCTACGAGACCTCAGACTCGGCTTTCTCACTGCAAGGCATGTCGTTTTCATAGTCTTCCTTTACTGGCTCACAATGTCGAGGGCTTTTGCCAACTTGTTGTTTTTATTTGGCTAAGCTTTTGCTATTCCTTTGCAAACTTTCTTCTCTCTGCTAGACCAATATCAAATTCATTTTTTGTCAGTTTTTATATTTTATTTAAATTATTCATGTGTTCACATCTTAAGTCAAGCCCGATACCTATTTCCTAATTTAAGCCAGTTTTGTACACTACACAATCAAATGCTACAAGCTAACAGTGGGCAGAAATGCTGGGAATTATTTTTTGTGTTCTGTGTATACAGTAAAATGTGTTGTGTTACAGATAACATCGCTACGCCAAAGTAAGGTACAAAGCAGTGGAAATAGCAAACCACATTATCATCATCATCATCTTCATCAGAGAGGAACAGACAGTCAACAGAAAGAGAAAGATGGCAACAGTGAGGCCTGTGAACTGGAAAAATTCAGGTTTGTAGATTCTTATCCATCCGTTCTGGGGCAGCTCATGGACAAACTTTCAAACTTATGCAGAAAGGCTGGGGATTGAACAAGTGACCTTCTTGTGTGGTATTTTTAATTGTTCAATAACAAAAACAATGTGCGTTTTTTTCCAGCATCACCTATAAAGACCAAAGGAGCTTCAGTGATCACCCCCTACATAAACTGTTCTCCAACATCCTTGTGTCTTTGGTGAAGAACCGACTCTGCAGGTAAATGCCCACCCCATGCTTCTCGACTATCACATCAAAAATTAATAGTGTTCATATTGATTTTTTTCTTTTTATCTGTAGCGAATGGATTGACCATGCAGCCCCTGAGTCTGTCCTCAGGGTTCTTATATGTCTGCGATTACTCATCAGAGATCCTCAGCATCAGGTAAGATATGAACAGTAGTTATATGTATATATGTATATATATACATATATACTGTATATATATATACATTTACTGTTTCTCTCCAATAGCAGTCTTAACACTATATATGTATATATATATGCATGTATATATGTATATATATACATATATACTGTATATATATTTATTGTTTCTCTTCAATAGCAGTCTTAACACTATATATGTATCTGTATATCTATATATAGATACATATATACTGTATATACATTTATAGTTTTTCTCCAATAGCACAGTCTTAACACTTACCATTTCTATTTCCTGCTTCCCTTTTTTAGAAACTCCTCCATCAGCTGCAGGGCATCAGTTTACTGAGCAGGGTAAAGTTTCACTGTTTCCTGAACATGCTGCATTAGTGCCTTTTCTCCACATATACTGTGTCACATGTTGTCCCTCTTCCTCTCCCACAGTACATGGCATCCGTCACTGCCACATACACATCCAGAGGAGACCAAGCCTTTTCTATGGCAGAGAGACTGGTCACGCTGACCTGTGAGTAATCTGACGACAGCTGCTGTAAAACACAATCACAGACATAAACAACTGAGTGATAAAATCCAGACAGGGTCTGCTGTTTATCACTTTCATTTCATCCGCAGACATGTTTCAGAAGCTGTCCGCTGTGGAAAATCAAAGGGCGATGGTTGTCGAGTGCGGGGCTCACAGAGTACGTGATGAGTTTAGAAAATGATTGATTCGCAGTCTATCTGCTGTTTGTTGACAAAGTAGCATAAAAGGATCCATAACAAAAGGATGACGAATGATCACTACCAAGAAGAAGCAGAAGATTGCTGCCTTTTCAGAGAAACCTACCAGATAAATAATATTAGAGTTGTATATAAAATGATATTCACGTAACCAGGTAAATGAAGTCCTTTATATCTCTCAATTTGACCAATCGTCTGTTTCTAGACACTGGTGATGCTTCTCTCCACCAATGACAGCAGTGTGTTGCTAGGAGCTCTGTTGGCGCTCACCACTCTGGCCGAAAGGTGAAAACATGGTAATTGTTGGAAAATGTATCAAACACATTCACACAGTCACTTGTTTCTTTTTTGCAGCCCTGAGTGTAAGGAGAAGATCGGGGAGCCGCCAATCATAGAGAAGTTACTGGTGATCCTGCAGGAATACGACCTGCTGTCAAAGAGGTGATTTTTATTGGCCGTTTGTTTTCCCGCGCCCTCCATATTGATCAGAGGCTAATGTTGAATTACAGTAAAACTTTTCCAGGAATGTATTTTATCCTGAATTTATTAAAGATTTTGAAACCCTAATACTGTAAAAAGACCATCCTATGTTTGTACATCGAATTAAATTCAAAATATTTTTTTCCTGCTGTAACCAAATTTTCCGACTTGCAAGCTAGATTTTTTTAACTGAAGGTTACAGTTGGATAAAAATGGGTCTAGAATTAATAATTTAATCACACGATTCTCAAATTTTCTTTTTGTTACTCCAATGTGATATTGAGTTTTTTCTGATCTGATGTAAAAAATACTTTTTTTCCCCTAAGATAAACATCTTCTCATGTGATTGTCAGAATCAGTGCTGAGCTTCTGAGGCTCCTCTCGCCAGTACGACAGGTGCGAGACCAGGTGAGGGCGCTGGACGGTTTGCCAATTGTACTGAGCCTGCTGCACGGTCAGCATCTAAAGCTCCTGTGGAGCCTGGCCTGGGTCCTGGTCCAGCTGTGTGAGGATCCTCCAACTCGGGCGGAGATCCGGAGCTGGGGAGGAGTACAGCAGCTGCTGTGGCTGCTCAACAGGTGGGGGGGGAATTGCACAGTGGACCATCTACTATGGAACCTGGGATTTTTGAAAGAATAATTTGGTGAAAATGAACAGGACCTTAGCAGATATCAACCCTAGTCTTGAAATCTATAAGGTGTATTTTATATATTATATTATATATTAGGCAATTTGTGTGGTTTTAATGTCATCACTTCTACACCAGCCTGGGTAAAGGAGGTTAGAACATTCCAGTAGCAAACTCTGAATCACAGTCTGGGATCTAGAATTTAAAAACATGGATGTTTATCTACTAGACAGGGAGGGTCAAAAGAAAACAGCCAGCTGGTTGCATAAAAGGCGGTTTGCTCCTTACTCTCCTGTGTGTCTGGATTCATTTTCCACGTTGTTTTAATTTTGTTTCAAAAGCATATTTGTTATTGTGACACAAAATATAGCTAACAAAATAGAACTCCTTGCAGTTTAGTAGTTGCTAATGTAATCTATTGGTTTGTAAGAAAATATCTATAGGTTAGACAAAATATGAAAATAAAGACTGACCACAAAGATCTTAGAAACAGTCAGAAAGCAACTCAGAAAAATGCTTCACTTGAGCCAGACTGGAATAGCAATTCATATTAACGGTTAATTAAGTTGTCAAATATGTAGGGGGATAACATTATATGTTATATTTATATTTATTAAGAAAAAAACATTTGGTACGTTTTGTTTAAAGCCACAGAATAGAGCAAAAAATATTATTTTCATACCTGTGTGCAACATTGTACTATAATGGTATAACATTGCCAATAATGGTTCATAATTCTTTCAGCGACAGGCGTTACGTCTGTGATCGTACCTCAATAGAGACTCTCTCCAGTGCTAACGCCGCAGGTCGCATCCAGAGAGAACACATCAGAGAGGAACTCAGCCCTCAGGAGGAAGTGGACAACATTCAGGCTCTGCAGTCAGGTTAGAGAAAACAAACTACATGAAGGGGTTTGGACAAATGTGACTCATTCTACAACAATGGCAGCTCTGCCATTTGTCCTATTGGTCTGTGCTCGTTCTTCGAGCTGCAGGCAGCTAGGAAAGGAAATTACCATTTCAGGGCTTGGTCTGATTGCCACTGAAGGCAACATCTACAAACTTTAACTTAGATTTTTTTTTTTGTCCTACAGAGGTGGTCAGAGTTATTCAAAGAGTTCTTCAAAGATTCAAATAGTTTGTCATCATGTATAAAAAGAGAGGAAAGCAATTTGTTCTGTGTAATTGAATTCTTTCTTTGCTGTCCACACTGATGCCAGGTTTTATAAAATAGAACAAAAGCACAGAACAATAAAAGAACAATAGGTACAGAATACAATCAATTCTATAAGAAATAATTAAATTAGAAATGTATCTGATATATACAAAACTGTATGCTGTGCAATGAGCTATAAATATGATACGCTTGTTAATTTATTTTTTCCCTTTACCTAATTTTGTCAGTAAATATTTTGAAAGCATAAAATTCAGAAACAGACAGTAGTGTAAAAAACAGGACAACATTTTTTTCCCCTGAAGAAATTTTATCAGCAGCACAGAATGTAAACAAGGATTTCCTGAGAGATGGAGCCAATCACTGAAACATGACTTGTATTTGTGATTCAGAAGAAAACATTAGTGTCAGATGTTTGTATAATGTATCAAATTGCTGTAAACATTAATGTTTCTTTTTGTTTGTTTGTTTGTTTGCTTCCTGATGTTAGGAGTAGCAGTGTTGTCCTTCAACAAACTGTGTCTAAAATTAAAAATAACACTCGAGTTTTTCTGCTGTTTGTTCACAGCCTGCTGTACAGCACTGACTGAGCTCAGTCTGGATGATGCTTCTGCCCATCACATTGTGCAGGTTAAACTTCTAGTTCCTATTGTTCAAGTCCCTTGTTTACCAAATAGTGTTATCTTTATCTACGCAGTATACCAAAAGAGTCTGTTTTTTTTATATGTATTAACTTTTCAGGAAAACGGTATATTTATCATTGCAAAGTTGGTCTTACCAAAAAGTGCTGGAGCTAAGGCTACATCTTTGCAGGTACACGTATTTATACATATACATTATTGACTTGTTAATACAGTTTAAAATGTAATAATTCATATATAATATCCTGAATAATATCCACCTGTTCTCCAATTGCTAGTGCTTTGCATTTCGGACTCTCCGGTTTCTCTTCAGTGTGGAAAGAAACAGACATATGTTCAAGAGGTGAGGTTTTATAGTTAAAAGGCTTAGATAATATTAGACGTTTATATATAATAAAGTCTTCCCTGTCACCTCAGTCTTGCTTAAACACAGTGAGATTTAAAATTAGCTTCTGGCACGCTGTAGAAAGAGAAATCTCCATAAACACGCTGTTACATCATCTCCTCTGCTTCTCAGGCTCTTTCCCACTGACCTCTTTGAGTTGTTTATTGATGTTGGCCACTATGTCCGAGACCTGGCTGCCTATGAGCGACTGCAGACCAAAGTTTCACTCTACCCTGTAAGAACACAGCCTCTCACTGTTTGTCCAGCTGAGCTTTAGGGATGCTAAATAATAACATGGATAAAGGAATCATTCAATTAAATCTAGTAAAAAATATATTTATCGTACTGAAAAAAATTGATATTAAGGAAGTGACTGTTTTAGCTAAACTTCATCTTTTTGGCAACTTTGCTGCTACTTTTTGGGTTTGTTTTTTATCTAATATTTTTAGGTACAATTTTAGCCCACATTTTTTCACTTTTAGGCAAATTGTTTACTTTACTAAAATAAAGTTATCTTTTGGCTGTTTATGCAGTTTTGGGTTAGCTTAAGTCTCGAGTGTTACATTTTTTAAATTTTCTTTTACAGAAATGTAGCTGTGTTGTATTGACTGGGCTGGAAATGTTTAAAATTGGTCAACTGTAACAACCCGAATCAGACATCAGTCAAAAAATATATATAATTTCCCCCAAATCTCTGTTAATTATTGACTGCTGTGTGGTCATCTGGTGCAGGAGGAGGAACTGGACAGACTGAGAGAGAGCATAATGGCTGTGGATCAGAACAGACCACCTCTTAAAATCATCAATGGCTACTCTGTTCTGGATCATCTGGGCACTGGAGCATTTGGAAGTGTTTTTAAGGTTTAAAGAAATATCTTGAAAAAAAAATCCTTGAGAATTTCTTATTGCTCAGACTAACTGTTCTTACTAACAGGTAAGAAAGCAGAGTGGACAGAACCTCCTCGCTCTGAAGGAGGTGAACCTTCACAATCCAGTGTTTGGAAAAGACAAGAAGTCCAGAGACAGCAATGTGGATAAAATTGTCTCTGAGCTGACCATTATCAAAGAACAGGTGATGCTGCACTCAGGAAGTGTGTCGTAATAATCCAATTCTAAATACTTTGTAAATGAGTTTGGTTATTTCCCTCCACAGATGACGCACCCAAATATTGTCAAATATTACAGGACATTTTTAGAAGGTGAGGATTGTTACTTTGACCTTTGTTAGGAATTGTTAGGAAATGGTAACGGTCATTACATCTACTTCAAAAGGTGATCAGCTGTACATTGTGATGGAGCTAATTGAAGGTGTACCGTTGGCCGAACACTTTAACTCTCTGAAAGAGAAGCAGCAGCAGTTTACTGAAGACCGGATATGGAATATATTCATACAGGTAACACATACTGACATAAATAAACACAATAATTATCTTACCTTACTTTAACACGTATGATTCTAGCAGTAGCAGTATCTTTTGATGAGATCACAGCGTGTCATGTCCAACTGAATGTTTCTAAAATTATAAAAAAAAGAAGTCTCTTATTTGTCCTACAATGGGAAAGTTCACAGTGTGAGTCTTTGCAACCCTCTCAGGTGCAATTTATATATAGTGGCAACATCATATTATATATTTTATATACTAAAATATATCATTTCACATGTTTGTTACTTTCACACTGACAGCCGTTAGAGGGCACTCTAGACCTGTGTGCCAGTATCTGTTACTCTTGTGCCACTGAAAATGTACGTTTGTTATTGTCACAATGACAGGGCACTGCTGTAAGTTATACTTCGGAGCGACTTACATATGTTTTTTTTTCTTCTTCATTATGCTTTTTTTTTTGCTGTTGCGACTTATAGTCCAGAAAATACGGTATGTGATTCATCTATGGCGGAAAAACCTTGAACTGCACGTAAGGCAAGCATGATAACCACTACACGATGGAACTACAAAATTGTTGCGTTAACCACAGATCTGCTGCAACAGGCTGCCAATAGGGAGTGACAAAGTATGTGGTTCCTCTGGGGCTTGAACCCAGTGAAAACACCCCCCCGTGATGGTTCACTGCTTCTTTACTGCTGCTAAAACGTGTCCCTCTTTCCTCAGATGTGTTTGGCACTGCGGTATTTGCACAAGGAGAAGAGAATTGTCCACCGTGACCTCACACCCAACAACATCATGCTGGGGGAGAATGACAAGGTCACCATCAGTGAGTGTGCATTATTGTATACTACAGCATCAGTGTTTCAGTGAAATGTGTGGGATTGCTGCTCTATCACTGTTTTCTCCCATATCAGAGAAGCTGTGTTTATATTGCATCATTTCCTACCTTTCTTTATGACCCTTTTCCCTTTCCTCTGCCTGAAGCTGACTTTGGTCTGGCAAAGCAGAAGCAGGAAAACAGCAAACTGACCTCAGTGGTTGGAACGATCCTTTACTCCTGGTGCGTAAATTATATACTGCAACCCTGCAGGAAATAGTAATTGTGGTCAGACTGTCTTTCTGCAAAGTGGTCATAAAAAAAATCTATTATTTTGGATGAACACTTAAGACATAAATTAAAAGTTGACTTTGTAAACTGCACAATAAACTGCATCTCCGTTTTTAATTATTTTCTTTAAAGTTTACGTGAGTCTATGTTTCCAATGTTAGTCCTGAAGTGGTGAAGAACGAGCCGTATGGAGAAAAGGCTGACATTTGGGCTTTAGGCTGCATCCTATACCAGATGACCAAGTTACAGCCTCCATTCTACAGCAACAACATGCTGTCACTGGCCAGCAAGGTAACACCCCCTGTCCACACCCTCACACACAGTCAAGGCATTGATTTTTCATCTTTTCATTCCTTTACATTACCCTAACTGTTACAAATATATGACGAATCCTAATCCTAATCCCAACATATCCCAATTTATCAGAAGCTAATTCTAATCCAATTTCAAAAAAGATCAAAACATGCTCATTTTCAACCATTGGTGGTTCAGTGGCAGAATTCTCGCCTGGCCGGACCTGGGGTTCGCGTCCCGGCCAATGCAAACATTTCATCTATTTCCCCAGTGTGGGATCAATAACATTCAATCTACGGTAATATCTAAGGGGGGATCTGTACCATGTGCCTTCAAGGACAAAAGTATCTCTGCAACAATAGGGATTAGTACAGTGTATCTGGATAATGAACACATGGCATATCATTTTAATAACATCTATGTTACGAGTTGCAAAATCAAAACGATTTAAAGAGGCCAAACTAGGAGGGAACTTGTATAATAAATTATAGCTAAAAGTTAGCATTATATCTTGTGTTTAGGCTAATACCATCAACTATACAGAAATTGGGAAAATGTTTCCAAAAATAACAGGAAGTTAGCAAAAATACTGATACATAAATGTACCAACCAGCTGACAGTTAGCATAAAGTAGATAATAGGTAAATACAATAGACCTGTAACGTAATGACATATCTAAGAATAGCTCAAAGTTTTAATTTTATTTAAGTTGCAAAAGATTAAAATCCAAAAATAAACCTGTACAGAAAAGCTGAATTTGCCTAAACATAAATTAGTCACATATTTACAACTAAAAACATTCAATGGACCAAATAAAGCTTCTCTGCCCAAGGATGTTTTGTTTTTTATTTGCATTTTTTTTATGTTGTTCTTCTTTGTGCTTCTGTTAGATTGTTGAGGCAGTTTATGAACCGATTGAAAAGGGAGCTGTTTCAGAGCGAGTGACTGACATGGTCAGATGGTGAGACTTTTATTTTGAGTGATAAACTAATTGTATAGATTCCAATAAAAAAATCACAGACTCGTCTGCTTGTTAAAACAATACCGTGCTCCATTCAGGTGTTTGAGCCCAGATGCTGAGCAGCGACCAGACATTGTGGCGATTAGCTCTAGGATCTCTGACCTAATGATGAGGCTGATGGACGGCCTCTGCACTTCCCATAATGCACTGGAAAGGCGGGCAGAGAGAGACAGGAAACGAGCACAGAAGTATTTCCTGGAGAGACAGAACAGCAGCAGCACCAGGAACTTCTGCCACTCGCACCTGTCACTGCAGGTGAGGAAGGACAAAAACAACATTCTCCAGTATATAAACTTTTAAGTCTGAAGAAATAACTGAGGTTGACTTTTGGTATCTGTAGAAATTGGTGAATATTTACATTTCTAATTGATGTCTCGCTGCCTGCAGGAATTATCCTTGGGGGGAAATGAATATCTGACTCCTCCTTCTCCTGCTGTCTGCAGCTTAGACCAGAGCGAGCAAATCATCTGTCAAGGTGAATTCACATTAGGTTTCACACTCATCACATAGGCTGGGTGTTGAAACAGACCGTAAACAACAGTTGAGTACAACACAACCAGACAAGAATATTTCTATGTACCCAAATTAACTAGTTTCCTATATAATCAAAAAGTGATATATTTGGTTTCTTATTAGATAATGTGAAATGTTAAGCACTGGACCCAGTTACTTATAGTGTGAGAAAAGAGAAAAGAGGTAGTATAGATAATATATACACGTGATCCTTGACTTGCGTCAGAATTCAGTTCCTAATGTTCATCAGTACTTACGTATGTCACTCACCTACGCCAACACAGTGGTGACATCATCATCTAGGACAGGGGTCACCAACATGGTGCCCAGGGGCACCTAGTAGCCTCTGTTCAGGAAGACTGTGTCAAACAAGTAGCTCTTCGCATTATTAAGTGCCCTTGAAGTAGCTCTCCGTTTCAAAAGGGTTGGTGACCCCTGATCTAGGACATAAAAACATCAGAAGAGTCCGACTTACACCTGGAAGCCATAATGAAGGGCAAAAATGTCCCTAAAAAACAACACAAATGAAAGAAAGCAAATATAAACAACCATCATCTGCATATAGCGCTGCATGAAGACATAACCGTCTGCTTCACTGTACTCAGAATGATGGAACAAGACTGGACTGTGTACACTTTTTACTGTGGACATTTTCTGGAAAAATACTTTTCTGATGGCACACTTTGTCTTCAGTGGGACAATTTTTAGGCCCCCAACACATGAAAGTGCTTTATTAGGCTGTTTGGAGTAAGGATTAATAGAATCAAAGTCAGATAAAATATTGAAAAAGGATTCAAAATAGTCATATTTTATATGTCTATGTAAAGTTTGAAGAATGCTAAAATAAATCAGTGTGTGCGTGTGTGTGCATAAAGACGCCTCAGGTGATGAGACTGAAACATCTGACACTAAGAACAGTCTCACAGCCAGTGGAGGGAAAGACTACGGTCAGTTTTCTGTAACAATACTCATCATGAATAATTATAAACAGTGTGTTTACTGAAGCTGTTTATGTTTTAATTGTAGGCAAGAAGCTATGCAATATTTAAATATCTTGTGATTTGCTTTTTCTGAAAGGATTGAAGCCAGATACGTTTGTTGAACCTGACCAAGTCCAGACGCGGTAAGTAAAACTTTGTAAAATAAAGTAAAGTGATTTTTGAGTATAAGTTACAGACACCTGACTGACTAAGCGCTAATATGAAGATAAAATATGTCATTAAAAACATGGCCGCTGTCAAATCCTTTCACTCCTGCCTGACACCCACCATAGAAGAAATTGGTAGTTTAACACTGAGCTGTTGGTCTACCGCTGCCTCGTGTGGACAGTTTGTGTCATTGAGGTAAATGTGTTGCAGACATTTTAACACTGTCATAAAACAACGCTTGGGGAATCTTCGTTTGCTTTGACTGCTTTGGTAGAAGAGTGGAAGTAAATAAAACGAAGAGCTCATGAACACTAACTGAAAAACACACACAGCAGCGTTACTGTATAACTCACAAAACGTGATCATGAAATGCTTATAAATGACCATTACCTTATATCTTATTGCCAATGTCCCACTTTACAACTTATTTCCATTCAAGAAAAGTCCACAATGTCCGAAACAACCGTGTTGTTGAAAAACGGTGTTTCTCACAACTATGTTCTATAACCACCACTTCCGCATGTGGTTACGCGCCAAAAAAGAAACACTGCCATCTGGTGGCGTCAATGTTTATACCCCCCTTTCCCACTTGTTTGCAAGTAAATGATCAGTTGTTTGTTAAAAGTACCTTTATTAATATTTGTGGGGGGTTTTTGTTGTGTTTTTTTTAGTGCGGAGCCTGCTACAGACAGGATTAAAGCAAGACCAGGTATTTTTGTAACTTTATTTCCCGGTCAATTATATAAAAAAAGGTAAGTTTAATCATTTTTAAAAAAAACTTAGTTTCTTAATAACGTATTTTCTTTATTTTTTTAATTGGACATTTTTAACTTTGAATTTGTAAAACTTGACCTTTACCCGTTTGCTCCCGATTCCTTTAATATCCTTGTCTGCATTTAAGGAAACGTTAAAATAATTCCCTTTTAGGTCCCCTTTTGCCTCAAAGCCATAACATAGAAATACAGAAATACACCTGCA